AATATTCATAAATAAGGATCCTTAGCTAATGATATATCTGTACCACACACACAAGAAGCACCAAATGGTACGATTAAGCAAATTTTATTTTAGTTAGAAATGGTGGTAGATATTTTTCATATAAATTTCAATGGTACAAATTATATAATAATGAAAACCAGGAATGACATGCCATTATAATTTTTAAGCATAGTTTAATAGGAAAAGGGAATTTACTAATTTTTAAATGCATGCTTTGACCTTAGTAGTTTCTCATCTTCAGATCTGTTCTGTGCTAATTCATGTTTAACATCATTTGGAAGATTTTGTTTTTGGTTGCTTGTTTATAACTTTGTTCTTCTTAGAGTCATTTGCAAGTAGATCAATTTATTTATGTCACTAGGTCTCCTTAAATGTATATGAAAAAATATAGGCTTACCTATAAAACAATTAGGCAAATGTAGGTCTTATTTCTGAATAAACATGGAGGTTTGTGTCAGCAAAGAACACTTTCTGTAAACGTGAAAAGTATATGAATTAGGAGTGAGCAGGCAATGATGGCTGATGGATGATTAGGAGGAGAGATGGGAGAGCCTTCACTTACCTGCTGTGAATGTACTGGTTCCTGTCATCATTTATACTCCTCTCCATTTCTGATTTCAATTTCTCCTTGTCGAAACAACAACAACAACAACAAAACAAACAAAAACAAAATGAGTGAACTCTGTCTAACACTTGTAAGAGACAGTGACAAAGAGTTTTGGATTCCAATGTACTGATTTCACAGATGACTCATTGAAAAAGTTTAAGTCAGTTAACCTTGTGCTACTTCAGTTCCTGGAGTGGTTCAAAAAAAGGATAATATTGATCCTAAAAATAATTAACTAGGGGGACTTCTTAGAGTTAAGAGGATATTTAATTATGCAAATTTTACCACTGAATATTCACACTCTGGATATCAATCTTTACATTTTGACTAAATTCTAAAATTTTACATTAATAAACATATTTTCTTTTGTCAACTTCATTTTCCATCTCTGTTATCTACATCCTTGATTTCCTTGTTGCATGCAATTCTTTTCTTTGATAATATCTTCTCATACTGTTTCCTGTCTGAGAGTCTACTTCTGCTTTGCTGGTACTTGAATTCTATTCAAATCTTTTATATTACATCTTATTTGTGTTAGCATTCTTTCCCTTAATATCTACTGCCAGCATATTAACCTTTTCTTGTATGGAAAGGATACATAACATTTTATTTTATAATAAAAGCACACTTTATGCTGAATGTAACTAGAAATAATATATCTTAAACATTATGTAATTTTTGTTAATGGATCTATCTTATTTCTATATGAATACTCTCCTGTGATACATCTACCTTTGGTATGTAAGGTGGGAGAAGGAACATTTCACCATCAAATTTAGGATCAGACATTTGCAACTGTGAATGACTACAGAGGTCATCTAGTTTGAATATTCCATTTTATAGATAAGGGAGTTGAGAATCACTTGCTGAAGGCTACATAGCCCTTAATGATGGAGTCGGGACTAGAACTCATGGGTCCTGGGTCCCCAGCCCTTGGTGTTACCTCTCCAGGCCTAATATGCTTGCATACTTTAAGTGATGAGCTCGGCAGGTCAACCTATGGCAGGTTCAGCACCGAGATAAGCTTATCTGTACTTGGGCACTGCACCTTTAATTCAGGCCATCCAAAACTATAACCTTCTGATCTAGCCATAGAGACAGAAAATTGGCAGAGACAGATCCTCCCGCTGAAAAGACATATGCCACACAGCCGCTCATAGTCATCTTTGTATCCAAAAACAACACATCAGTTCTCTCAATGACAGCAATCCATGCTACATTCATTTGAGAAACATTTAATTTGTGTCCTCTGTGAACAGTCACTGTGTTTTTCCCATCTCAGGGTCCCTTCCCTGAAGGAACTTATAATCTAAGATGAAGGCAAATGTGAAAAAAGTAACTACACAAAGAATCAAATCCTTAAATAGAAGTATGCATATCTTAAAAGCATTAAGTTAATAACCTTTGCATTGTAATTTCTTGCAAAATTTGCCACTTTCATATATAAACAAGAAAGTAATCAGGTAAGCATATAATAAAAACTTAGAAGAAAAATAGAGGAGAAGAACCAAATCAGGCTATAATACATATAAACATGGAAGTGCCACAAGGAAACTCTCTGTGTAGCTATCTTAAACAACCAAAAATGTCATTTTTCCCTCTTCTTTTCTTATACAAAATCAGAGAACAGGAGCACAAAACAAGTCCTACCTAGGGGTTTTTGGTATGGGGGGGGGGAAGAGGTAGGGAAACGGTGAAGGAGGGTAAATGAATAGAGTGCAAAATACTGTGTACATACCATGTATTATAAATGGAATAATGATGTCTGTTGAAACTTGGGGGCAGGTCAGGATGAAGGAGAATGGTGGAGAGGGTGAATTCAAGCACAATATATTTGATATATTGTAAGAACTTTTGTAAATGCCACAATGTACTCCCACCCAGCACAACAATAAAAAAAGTGAAAAAAAAAGAAAGTTGGTTATTCAAAATTGCCAAGTTTGATTTGGCCCATGATTAAACACCTGTTTCTCTGCCACATACACTGTTGGAGTTGGGAGAGCTGAAGTTTTGGGTCAGGTAGAAAAAGGAAGTAAATATCCATTGCCTTTTAAATTAGTTTTTTTTTAACTATATAAAAGTAATGCATTCTTTGGGTAAGATATTAAAACTATAGTCACAGGTATAAAGTACAAAGGCAAATTTGTCTCTCATCTATGTATGTACTCTTAACAATTTTTGTCCTTTTTTCCAGAAAATTTCTATGTACACAGAACCATATATATATATGTATATTTTTGCTACAGGTAGCTTACCATTAAACTTGCTTTTACACTTACCTTAGACATACCAGTATGGGTTGATCTATCTTATTTTTTTAAATGGCTGTATATTACAGCTTTGTATGAATAGATGGTAATTTAAGCAGAAGTTGACTTTTTTAAAATCAGAAATACTGTGGAGGTAAAAACAAAGGTGTGTGTATATATGCATATATGCTGAATTTTAGAGCAAGCACTCTAGAACTGAGTCACACCACTGAGTTGTGAACAATAGCATAGCCGTAGACATCTAGTAGTCAAAGTTTATTAAATTAGTGACTTTCTTCACCTTTGTTGATTGAGTCCAGCAATGTATTGGTTGCTTGCTTTTTTTCTTTTCATTCATAACTGCTGACAACTTTCTTCCTACCTAATCTGAGGAAGTAGTAAAAGTAAAACCTTTTTCCTGCATGAGGCCACACTTGGTGCTGTCTATGATTGTTTGATATGGCTGCCATCGTACCATATCCTTGCATTTTAATCCCTACTGAGTTTCCTCATGAATTCCTGGCTCTCCTCTGCTCTGCACTTGGCTTGGCTTCCTGCCTTTTATCAGTGGCAATCTATCAAGACCCTGTAATGTGCTCAGTGCAGGGCAGAACAAATCAGTGTTCCACTTCACAATTTAAGGAAGGCAGGGGGCTAGTTTTTGTTTTAAGATAAAATCTTTCAATGGAACATAAACTCCCCAAAACTTCCTTTAAACCAACCAGCATTGTCACACCCTCACAAGCTTTTACTACATAAAGCCAGATGACTCAAGACTACTAACATTTCTATTCATGAGGAGTTTCTTGGCCCCAAGTCAACACATTCAGTCCCTCCCCCATCTTCCTCTTCTCTCCCCAGGGAGACTGATATTTGGAGCTCTTACCACACTAGCACCAAGTTTATTAGAATAAAGACCATGTGTGTTGTTGCTGGAACCATTTGTCCTGACTTATTTTTTTCCTCTTTTTTTGGTGGGACTGGGGTTTGAACTCAGGGCTTTGTCCTTGCAAAGCAGACATTCTACCCCTTAAGCCACATCTCCTTTCCATTTTTCTCTTCTTATTTTGGAGATAGGGTCTAGGGAACTATTTGCCTGTGCTGGCCTTGAATGGCCATCCTCCTAATCTCATTCTCCCAAGTAGCTAGGATTCCAGGCCTCCCCTACCACTTTTTAAAGTTCATTTTCTGAGGTGGGAAAAAAGGAGCTCAGAATCTTCTTAGCTTCTAGAGTTCCAATTCAGAAATATGTTGTAAAAATTGGATGTATTTACTGAAGAACACAGAGAAAAAGAAATCATATCAGAAACCACCTACATGTACGTTCCTGTCATCCAGTGTTGGAGATGGGGCCTTCTGGGGGAGAGGGGAATACAGTTGAAGCTTCAGTTTCTGCACTCAACCTCAAAAGCCAAAAAAAGCAAAACAAAACAAAAACCTGGCCCAACTTTCCCTTTGGATCTTTCGCTTCACATCTTTCTCTGCAAAATCAAAATAAAAAAATCAAATCTTCACTAAAGCTGAATGCGTCTCCGACCTGGGACACCCCCATCCAAGCCCGCGCCTTTGTCGCTCGCGGTGATGGCCCAGAGAAAGCCGCTGGGACCAGGGGGACTCTGTCCGTTTGCTTTGGGGTAGCCTCGGCACAGCCCGAGACGAGCTGCGGGTTGGCGGCCCTCCGCGGCCGCGGTCGTAAGCGCGCGGGCGGGGCGGGTAGAGCGCGGGGCGGCCGGGAGGGGGCGCCGCAAGGGCGCGGGCCGCCAGGAGGACCGCGGAGGACGCGGACTTGGATTGCGGAGCGGGGTCGCGCCGGGGTCCTGCGCCCGCGGGCCTTCGCCGAGGGGGAGGCGGGGCGGCAGCGGCAGTCGGGACCGCGCGGGCGGAGGTTTCCCGCCGTGGCTTTTCTGCCGAGCGCCCGCAAGTCGGGGCTGAGAACTTCTCCCCGCCTGCGCCCCGCGCCCCGGCCCTCCGGCGGCTCCCGCACCTTGTCCCGGGTCCCTTGTCCCTGGCCCGCCCCCGCCTCCTCCTCCTCGGGCCGCGCTCCCCCCCTGCCGGCCGCCCGCCGCGCCTCTCTCAGTTACAAAGGAGGGAAAATGAGCCGGGCGGCGGCGGCGCGGCGAGGGGCCACCTCGGAGGCGGTGGCGAGCGCGGCCGGCCCCGGCTCCGCGTAAAGCTCCCCCGCCTGCCCAGCGGCGGCCCAGGCCCGAGCGGAGCTCGTCGCCCGCTTCCCGAACCCTAAGCGTCGACTCCCGGCCCCGGAGGCGCTGGAGCCCGAGCAGGAGGCGCCGCCTTCCCCGCGCCGCGCGCCCTCGCCGTTGTCTGCGCTCTGCTCTGGACCAGTTTGGGGAAGTTGCCGGGGCCCCGCGTCGCCCAGATGTGCGACCTCATTGAACCGCAGCCGGCCGAGAAGATCGGCAAGATGAAGAAGTTGCGGAGAACTTTGTCGGAGAGTTTCAGCCGCATCGGTGAGTGGCGAGCTGTCTCCGGCATCCAGCCAGGCGTTCCCCCGCGCCCGCTCCCTCGGCCCCGCGCCCCCGCCGCGCTCCTGGCACTGGCGGTACAGCTGCCACTCGGGGGGTTGAGCTGCAGACAGGGGATGGAGTGCTGGGGACTCGGGGGAGGATCGGGACCAGAAGGAGAGACACCGTCTCCCCAGGATTTGGGCTTGATTTGTGGACTGTCTCAAGCCTTCAGTTTGGGTTCCTCCTCCCTGCCACTAGTGCTGTATCTTCGCGCCAGCAGGGGACAGACGAAGGGACACCCGGCCCCCACCTCCCACGGGTTGGAGGACCGCTTATGTCACTTGTTTTTTTTTTTTTTTTAACGCGCAGGCTTTCGTATTGGGTGTTTAGTCAGTAATTTAGCTTTGAAAATTGTTGAAACGCTGGTTTGTGCCCTAGTATTGTTTAACGTAGCCAACCTAAAGGGAAGTGGGACAGATACCTTGGGACCTTTTGTTCCGTACTTCGGGTCCTAGAAAGCGAGATTTGGGTGTTCACTCCCAAGGTTCTGACTCTCCTAGCTGCTGGAGAGAAATGCGTCCTGTGAAGTTGCCTGAATATTTAGGAATAACTCATTTCACTTACTAGATCAGGGGCTATTGTCCTCACCCACCCAACAAAAACCGGCCAAGGAATGTGCGGGATACTTGAACATAAATCCAGGTCACAGGCTATGACAGGGTGACAACAGCGTCATGTAGAATGGGTTTGTTCAATTCTGAGTTTTAGACATAGAAAATGCCTTTTAACCGGAAGACATAGCTGCCTCCCCAACTGTCATAACTTTCATTGACATAGGTAACTGCTCAGCCAGAGAATTCTACCAAAAAATAACCTATCAGCATGCCTAAGAAACCTCCTAGCCTTTGTTTCACATGTCATCCATGTTAAGAAAGGTGCTCATGGAAATTAACCATGAAGGTGCTAATTCCTTAGAACTCTGGAGTGCCAATGAGTGTTACAGTATGTTCCACCCATTTATTGTAAAAGCAAACTTTCTTCAAGTGAGAGAAAACATGTATCAAAATTTAGTCAAATTTTTTTTTTTTTTACTTACACTTTTGTGTTGGTATACAGAATCTTTCTCGAATTGACTGTAAGTTATGTGGTGAAACTAACATACAGTCCTGGTTTTATTTGTTACACGTATCAGATGTTTATAGTTTCTTCAGAGTGAGAGATGCATACATTCAAATGGAGTTTGAAACCAGGAAGAGTGTGAGAGAGCAAGGTGTCAGTCCTGTGCATTATTAACAAGGATGTCTCAACCCGGACCCAAATCATCACAGAGGCAGGTTCTGGAGTCCATTAAGCCCTGTTCTAAAACACATTAACTGTATATTTACTAATGCTAATGACTTTGTTGGAGTCTTTCCAGTTTTGTGCTAAATAATTCATTAAAATTGAGTCTCAGTAAGAAACCCAAGGACATTAATATAAAAATTCCTTATGTTTAAATAGTTTCAAGGTTTTGATTGAAAATCAGTAAAATTTGGATTAACTGGAATGCTGGCAAGTGAGGTATTATAGTTAATTGGATTTTCTAGCTTACTGAGATTTAGTGATGTGAAACTCCTCTTTAGTTCAACTCTTGTTAAATATGTCTTCTAAGATCTATTGGATTTTATATCCTCCCTTTAGGAAACAGTACAGTGCAGCGAACATAATTGATTATTTCTGATCTTATGGGAGAAATGTTCAGAATAGCAGTCACACTATGGAATACTGTAAGAGGAGGTAGTGAAGTTTGAGGTGATTAGAGTTGCACTGTATGTGTAACCAAGCCCAGGGTATTTATTAGAAATAGCATTAGAGAAAAGTAAATCTTATCTATTTATTTTCTTGATTATTTTCAAAATTAAAAATGTTAGAAGTTTGATGATTTACAGGGTTTTTGAGATACAGAGGCTGTTAACCTAAGGCTTTGCTATGGGTTTATACAGTCCATAGCTAGGAATGTGGGCTGTGTCAGATGACTGGGAATTCCTGGTGTTGCACTCTTTGCTGAGTGACCTTGAACAGGTCCCTCAACTCCTCTGAGCTTCAGTTTTTCATGGACAGTTCAGTTTTCTTGGCCCTTAGTTAAATAGGAAATAGAATGTCATGTGTTGTATGTGAGAATCAATAAATGTTCCCAATATGATATGATTAGAGATCGTATCATACTGGCATAACTGATTTTACAGATAGAAAGCAAAAGAGAAGGTCAAAGAGGTGGCCACTGATTTGTAGTATAGTCAGCCTGAAAACAGGATGGGTTTTAGACTCAGACAGGCCTGGATTTGAACCCTATTTCCCCTGCATGCTGTGTGTCTTGGGCAACCAGTAGCAATTCACAGAACTCCTCATCTGTGAATATTCATATGGTTGTTGAAAAGATTGTATCATACACAATACCTATCTGACACAGTATCTATCACATAGTGAAGATCAATACTGAAGTTGTTTTTATTCCTTCAGTTTCTCTGTTTATCCCCTGTTATCCTCTTCTCTTCATTGGCACCTTAGAAGGAGATCAAGGAGTAAATGGTTTATTCCTGTTGGACAAACCCACATTGCAGTGTATTCATTTCCTTTGACTAATCTTTGATGGCTTTATTTCACTTTTTTAGAATGATTCAAAAGTGTGGCTTGTTAATATGGTGAGATGTATACTGTTACTCTTTAGCTATAAGAAATCAATAAGAGTTATCTATAGGAAAAGAGGACAATGTTTAAAAGTATGTGATAGCCAGTCAGTGTTTATTAATAATAACCATTCTGAATACAGGAAGTAGGAAATGCTAGTGTTTCATTTGTTCACACATCAGAGATCATGCTGATTTGGTCACTACTCACAACCAAATCTCAGCTTATCTGAGATCACTACATTCTAAAAGATCTAATAAAACACATTGGCTTTCAAGTCATAGTACTCTAATTTATGACATCTGTCAGGGAGTAACTATAATATAGCCATGGTCTTTTATAAGATGGTTATAATTGAATTTTAAAGTCAACCATCAGTTTCAGTAGTGAATATTTATGGTTTTCTGCTAAATAGTGTCAGTGTGGTCACTTATTTAGGATTTGCTGCAGACTCACACTTTTTTTTTTTTTTTACTTCTAGGATGAATACAAATAGGAATTTAATTTTTGAATAGTTTCAATATAATAACAACTTGCTTTACTTGTTTTCTATTTTTGAATGATGGATTAGGAGGAGGAAGGCTCTGTGAATACAGTGTATGATTAAGGTGAAACTTGCACTTCTTTATATTCATTTGAATCAATTTCTTCACACTTATTTGGATCTTCTCCTAGAGGAAGGAAGTTTGTACTCTCTAATATTGGAGGTGAACCCATGCATACTATTTCGTTAAAGAATGTGGTTTGTGAGAGAACTGAATCAAAAGAGGCTGTGATTACCCAGAAATTTTGGGTTTGTTACCTTCTGCTGTGTGTAATTCTAGAGTCCAGTTGTCATTTGTTGAGCTCATTCTGTCAAAAAAGAGAAATGTAAGGTTAAAGGTTCAAACACAGAATTTAACCATTGGACCATATCCTTTCCCAAAGCAATTTCGAAAGATTTCAATTTGGGCCAGGGATGTAACTCAGGAGTTAGAACCCTTGCGTATCATGCAGGAGGTCCCAGGATCAATCCCAACCACTAGGGAAATATTTTTTAATTTGAATATTATAAGATGGAACTTCTACCTATAGGTCTTCCATAAGATAGAAAAATTATACTTTTATGTGCCACAACTTTAGTGTATCTCAAAATATGAGATGGAATCCTTTTGCCACTGAGATAGGACTCATTAATCAAACACATTATTATTGGGTACCTCCTGTGTGCTGGAAGTGCTGGCACTCAGGTTTAGTGACCATGTGGCTTGTCCTTCTTAAGCCAGTGAATGAGAACTGGAAGACAAGCCAGTGAATGAGAATTCACCATATAAAGTGAAACTTCTACCAGGAAGATTAGTGAAATTTGCTGTTGGAGAACATAGGAGGAGCACCACTTTGATCATGGTGAGGTCATGGGAAGCTTTCTAGAGCACAGTATCTGAGCAAAGGACTGAATAGGATTTCTGATCATATTAAATGATTTAAAATGTAATCTTTTGTTAAACCAGAATAATGCAATATGCTTATTGTTCTGTAATCCTTGAAGACAATTGTGGTTTTATATTAACATAAATGATTAATGACAATTAGGAAATGTTGTGTGCATGTTTTGGTCAGAGTTTACTCATATAAATATCTGACAAGGACATCTTTAATTGGTCTTTGTTGTCACTATTACTTTTTAGGACAAGAATTCAATATTTAGAAGAAACCATATATAAAGTTTCAAGGTAGCAATGAAAGATTTCAACTAAGTAATGGACTTCTTGGTCTACATATGCCCTGCCTGATGATACACAGGTCTTGTGAGTGTTGTTCAGGGGACAGAATTGGTTTCCTACCACTAGTATCTTAGTAAATGCACCTGAAATTTTTTCCTTTATTTTCTCCTTCTCTTGCTACCTTCAGGATGCCCCCCCCCCTTTTTATCCAGGATGATGGAAAATTGTCAAGAAGAAATAGGCAATCTAGATGTTCAAAACATTCTGTTTTTCTGCTCTCTTTATTTCTTAACTTGGGGGGGGTCTTCATTCGGTGTCTGCAATTCCCCAAGGTATAGTATCTAGTTCAATCTGCTCAAGAAAACCCATAGCTAAATTTTCATAACTTTTTTTTTTTGGTGGTAAGGGGATGGTACTTGTGTTTTAACTGAAGGCCTCGTGCGTGCTGGGTAGATGCTCTACCATTTCAACCATGCTCCCAGTCCCCAGAAATTTTATAATGTTCAAAGTAGAGAAAATATATTTAAAGGTCTATGCTCTGAATTACAAGCTTTCTGTTATAGCTTTGCATCTTGAATAGCAGTCACGTATGTGCTCCATTAACCTTTGTTCAGTGAAGTAGATATAGGACTCTATGATAATCTGCTTTATATGCAACTTTGTATTTAAAATCAGTGAATCATTTACTTAATCCAAATATATGTATTTTTAAAAATGGAGCAACTTGTCTACTTAGAATTATGTTACTAATATTGTGTAAAAGACTCACTAGTCAAGTATATTAATTAAAAGACACACCTTGGGTTGAGGAAGTAAGGAGTTAAGGTACAGTCTAGTAATGTTCACTGGGACTTAAAGAGAACCTTCCAGATTAGAAGTTAAATTCTAGTGAAAAGGTAGCTCTTAGGAGTCAACTAGATTAGTATATCTTTCTGTCAAAATATGTTATTTTAGATTTAACATAAATTAAGTCAATTCTGTAATAAATTATGTGCAAATAATCGAATGCAACATTAGCCATTTGAGACAGGACAAAATATTGTATTTTAATTATCCATTCAGTGTAAATTGTTCTCTGACAAAGTACAGAATTTATCATAGATTAGTTTCTCAAGTGAAAGAGAAAAACTAAGAACAAACCATAAGAACTGTTCTCTCTTCTTTAGCAAGCCTGCACCACCCTTAACCCACCACCATAGTTGATCTTCTTGGAAAGACAAGTTTGCTATATAAAGCAGGAAATAATATAGTATGTGATAGCTTCCATTTAGGCACATTACTGTTTTGGAGCTTAATTATCAGATAATTTGCTTTTCTTTGCTTTTTTCAGAACATAGTTTTAAAGTAGTAACTACCCAAGTCCTTTTATTATAGACCATTGAACACCTAAATTTGAAACATTTCTGCAAGTAGTGATTTCAGATAGATTATTTTTGTGTATTTCCCTTACTACGAAGCATTATAAGTAGCATTCAAGGAACTAAATATCTGCTATAAATATCAGCTATAATTGATATTGTTCTCCTACTCTTTCAAGTGGTAAAATTCCAGTGCTAAATCTACATGTATTTAAAATAAATTTAAAGTATTTGTTCTTATAAAATACTTTGACCATTGTTTTTGGAAATATTTTGCTGTAAAAGTTGTCAAGTTAAAATGTTTAAATTATATTTCTTACTCTTCAATGCTTACTTTACATGCTTGGTCTCTTATCACTGTACTTAAGTTCTGTTATTATGAAAATATCATTTAGGGCACCATACAGAATAGATTATCATCCCGATTGGTTTAGAGGTCCATAGACTATGATGATAATTGCTCAAAAACCAGGAGTTTAAGGGGAAATTTCTTCAAGCTTACGTTGAGCTTTTTTTTATTCTTTCATTAGAACATGTTCAGCTACAGAAGAAAAAGGGGAAAGTTATGCATGATTCTTTTCCCTATCTGGGAGGATGGCTCCATTTACATATTTATGAAAAGTGTTTCAGAAAGATGCATGCTGTGCAATTCTCTCTCTCATTTGCAGTTTCCATATTTGTATCATAACATTGTTATTCAGGTTGAGGTACAGTTTTGCTATCTGAAATGAAAACACTACACTGCCTTTTTTTTTTTTTTTTCTGTTTTCTAGAACTTAGATACAACTCTTTGGGATGTTTCACAATAACTGTGTCCTTTCCATTTTCATTTTACAGCTTTGAAGAAAGACGACACCACCTTTGATGAGGTAGGCCAAATTTCTTTATCTAATGTTAGGTGTATTTAATTACTGCTAGGTAAAGTTAGTAAGTGCCAACTTTGCATTTAGAAACTGAAAAGAAAGTGCCTTAGGAAACAAAGACAGCATTTGTTTAGTTGCATTATATTGTTTTCAAATTTGTAGCAATCATCAGAAACATGTCTTTAAAAATCAATAAGCAAACTTACTAGAGGACATACGCAGTTGTTGTGTTGTTGCCTCTTGCTGGTGGTAGTGCTTGAGAAACTCAGTGTGCTGAGCTTGCTTTATGGCAAGTCTGGAGATGTTGGTAATTTGGACACCAAAGCTCCCTTGCTGACCTGGGCTGAATCAGGTGTGATGTGGTGTTGACGCCACATATTGTCTACTAGTCTCCCAAAGGACCAGCTGACTTTTCCTGTTCTACTTTCCCTATTCTTTGTATCAGATGTGTCTTGATTACTTGCTACAAAGTTGTAAAAAAAAAATAAAAAGCCTGTCTAAGTAAGACAGAGGGTTCATATGTAATTAATCGCATTCTGAATGTGATTTTTAAATTGTAGTTTTTCCTGAGTTTTTGTTACTGCCCTTAGAGTGCAATACAATGAAGTGTTTTATTGTAACCATCCAAAGCCACAGTCATTGATCTGTGTTGTGAAGTGGCCACCTGTGTGTGCACAGTGTATGTATTTATATATGAACAGAGATGTATCCAGACAATGTGCTGACCCTACAGCCTAGTGAAGACATAGATTAGGTTGCTTTGGTTGTTTGATTTGTTTTCGCACTTTAAGATCCATAAAATGTGCTACCTGTCCTCCGTCTGCAGCAGAGCTTCAGTGCTGAAAGAGTTTGTGTGTTCATGGAATGTCTTCATGGCCTTGTGGTTAGCAGGTCCACTCAGGGAGAACCCGCTGCAGGCCAGGATTTCTGGATGGGGCCAGCGTCACTTGGCTGTCACAGTCTGCTTCTTCATGTACTGCACCTGTTCTTTTTTTTTCTGGTCTGAGCTCTACAAAGCTGTGTTCCCGAACTCCAAAACAACTCCCCTTGCAGGCATTCCTATAACATCTTCTAAAACTTAATTTTTCTAGACCTGAAGCAATAGAATTTTTTTCTTTCCCATCCATAGTAGATGATATTAGTGTTTTCCTCTAAACTTGTATTTCTGGAATTTCTACCATGTTGTTACCGGAGTGTTTTCAGGAGAGTATTTTCTTTTCTTCTCAGGAGAAATCAGTGTGAGAATATTGGGCATTCTTTCTCTCTTTATAAAGAAAGGTCTTCCCTCTAATTATAGAGGTAATCTAATCTTATATGAGAAAAGTCAGGAAAAAAATTGGAGTAAAAAAACAATCTCTTAAATACTGTTATCCAGACAGAACCACTGTTAAATAGTCTTTCTTCTTTCCCTGTGTTTTAAAATCATAGCTCATTATTATGTCCTGCTCTTATCCCTTAAGATAAAGCATGATATTTTCCCATGTTTTTGCAAATTCCTCCTAATAATAATTATGAATTAAAAAAAAGAAAAACTATGTTTAAGTATCACTGTTTGGTTGTGTGTTATTCTGTCATGTGTCTGTGTGTACCTTTTGCTTAAATGAACAAAAGAGCAAACGATACTGAGGGTAGAATCCAGATGTAAGGTAAGAGAATATAAGGATATGGGTGTATCAGGCCTGTTCCTACTCTCCTACACTTATTTTATTCTGAACCTCTGCACAGTCAGAGGTCTGGAGTTTGTAATTTGGAGCAAAATCATCTTCAGCTTTTCAGTGTTTCCTTCCTCTGTGGCACAAGAGATTGGCTAAATACCATAAATCAGTAAATCACTGAGTGGTAGGCTTAGAACAACCATCAGAAATCATAATTTCCCCACCCTGTCATTTTACAGATAAAGAAATTAAGATCCCCAGGGGGTCAGGGTCATTTCCAGCTAATCAAGCCCTACCGCAGCCACCCTCTGATTCAGCAATTCACTACTTATTCCATGGGCTTTGTAAGATAGAGATTATAGTCTCTCCCTCTTAGGGTAGTTGAGAGAATTAAATAAACTAATGTATGTAAAGATTCCAGAATAATGACTGGCAGACACTACATGTCTTATAATTGGTATGGTCATCTTCATTGCATCGTCAGTCTTGCTATCATCACCACAATCATTGATGTGCTAACCATGACATTCACCTTCTGAAGGGCAACAAAGAAGACAGAAGGATTCAATTGGAAATTAAGAATTAGGGTTATGAAGGGAGTAATTTTCAGATAGTCCTCCTAAATTCTATATAAAGATTTGTATGATGATTTACATACTAAAACTAAAAATATCTGAAAATCTACCCAACGTTTAGATTCCTTAAGGGGATGATTGCTTTTGGCTTTGCAATCCCTGTGTGTGTTGTACATGGTTAACATCCAATAAATGTCTACCAAATATGAGTAGGTATCTGTTGCAGAGTAGAGAAAGCAATGAACTGAGTGTCAGGCAATATGGAGTCTCACCACTTCCTAGCTATTTGGGAAGTTATTTAATTTACCCCAATCTCAGTTTACGCATTTGTAAATCATTCATTTGAACTATAGTCTTTAAATTGCTTTCTAGCTCAAAGTGTAGGATTCCAAGCAACACAACAACCCACACAAAGTTACAATTTTGTCAAATCAGAGAAGAGCTTAGGTGCTTATATAAGTAGGAAGTAACTGATTTTCTTTCTTAAGTATTTTTTTGAGATGAGACTTGCTATGTAGTGTAGGCTCTCTTCAAACTCATGATCCTCTTGCCTTTGCCTCCCAAGTGCTGGAATTACAGCACATCTGAGTGTAACTGAGTTCATTTGTGATTATTTTCAGATCATAGTGGTAGACGTTTTCTTGAAAGGGTGGTTTTCTACTTTTCCTCCCTTGGAGTTGGGATGCTCAGTATCTCTTGGAATTCCATTGAGATTAGAAACTTCCACACTGGGTCAGTTTCTTAGCTATGAAGCAAGGTGTGGACAGCCTTCTCCTCACTGTTTATCAGCCAGAGGCTCTTATCTCAAGGAGTGGTCTCCCCCAGAGGGTGCCTAGCTGGAGGGTAGTTGCTACTCCCTGATTCTTTTGGAAGATTCCTCTACTGTGTGGTAAATGTTTGATCTTGAACAGAGTAGAAAAAGAAATATAGATGTAGATATACTTGCTTATTCTTTGACTTAAAACCTTGACTGCTAATTTTCAAAGCAGCTTGGAATTGTGTTCAGGAACTGTGTGCTAATGCGTATTGTAAAGCAGGCTGTGTGTGTGTGTTACATGTGAAGAGTTTGGAAATTAAGTACTGAGATCTTCAGATATTTGCAGCAATTAGAAAATAATAGGAAATTTGCTGAAGTCTATCAAAATTGGAGAAAGTAAATTTTAAGAATGGTCATTTCCCCCTTTATTCATTGTATATTTGGGCCCTAACTAAAATGTTAGAAAATTTATGTTCTGTGGATTTAACCTACAGATTTGACTTAATGGATTAATCATTTAAGGGATATATATATATATAGATATATATATATATATATATATATATATTTATTTATTTTTTTTTTTGGTGGTACCAGGGTTTGAACTCAGGACTTCATGCTTGCTATGCAAGCACTCTTACTGCTTGAACCACTTTGCTAGCCCTCCCCAACTTTTTGATGTTTGGATCCTCAGGGGCTAAATAAGAAACTGTGTGCAAATCTTATTGTAAAGTAGGCTGTCTTTGTGTGTGTGTGTGTTGTGTGTGATGATATGTGAACAGAAACAAGCTAGACTGAAGGTGAAAGAAGATTGGTGTCTTGTGTCATAATTTTTAGTGGACACCGTGTTTTGGAGGAGGCCTCCAGTAAGTGTGAATTTCATGTTTATATACTATTGTAGAACTTTCTAAATGTCTTTTTAGCATTTCTTCCCCAGTAAGTGCAACAGCTGTGTCCCTTGAGTAGCCACTTTCTTCCTGAATGGTTGAACAATGATGTTAGGTGGGTTGTTAAATCTTGTTTTTTTACTTAATTATTTATTTTAGAATAATAATGATACATAATGTATCAAAATATGAGAAAATATAGTTAATCTTTACCACATATAAAAACTTTTGAACTTTGGAGACAAAAACTCCAACTAAGTGTGAATAGATGTGTGCAGAAAGACCTGGAAGTGTGCAGACCTGCAGCAATTCATGACCTGTTCTTGAATAAATTAAAAGGCTAAACTATATAGTTCCTCTTCATGCCTCTGTTAAATAAAATAAGCTCAGATGAGGAGTCAAAGTGTTGACTCTGCTTGGCATTTTGGTGAGAAGTACAAAAATTTTAGTGATTGAAATAAACCTTTAGAATGTAAAGAGTTTCATTTGTTTATGGTACATAATGTAGAGAGTTAAGTATGTATTTAACATGGTCAATCTTTTCTAGCTATTCCCCATCCTGCTCAAGTTACTTCATGTTTGTGAAACAGAAGTGTGGGCAGTACTTATTTTGGCATTTTCTACCTATTTTGTTTTTTGAATCCTAGGAAAATGTATAGAAAACATATGAAAATTTAAAATTTTTTTCATCTGATCTGAGTGCTTCAAGAACATTTTGTAGACTCATCTGCTCATTATATGTTTAATGTACTACTTCTGATAGATACATGGAGACAGTGCACGTTGATCTCAACTTCTTGTTCATGTCCATCTTTGTCATTTTCTACAAAGATGTAATACCTGCAATGATAAATGTAACTGATTTTTTTTTTTTAATGAGAGCCAGTGGCCAGGGAACATACAAAGATGATTTGGGGGTATTCCTGGACACTGTTTCATTCATTGAGATAAGTGGAATTTGGTGCAGTCTTTTCTCCCCATCATTGTCACAGGCAGTCTCATTGTCCATACCAATGATGGGCAGCAGTCCAGCTCCAGAGTTTCCTGACTTCCTTAATTCGTGCCTCTCTCACCCATACTCAGTTTCTGGGGAAACTGGATCATTTCACTGGGATAGTCAGTAATCTAAAAT